CCTGAGATCGAAAATCAACATAAATCAATAACATTTTTAATTGAATAATATCATTCGGGAAAGTTGTTCCAAATCTCAGGGATGGAGTTGAAATTATACAACCTGAGAATATTTCAAAACGACTTTGTCAAATGAAATTTTTTATAGAAAAATTCAATTCTTCCAGGGACGGGTTGATTTTGTACGAATGTATTAGTTATGTATAATTGTGAACTCATAAACTTTTCATTGGAAAGTATGTCTCTCAAAGTTCAATCTGTTGAAAAATATTTTTAAACACGACTACTGCAAATGAGATTCAGGAGATAGTTGTTGTTGAAGTTATTCCCACTGTTATTTCATAAGTTATATTCAGAATGTAGTTTTTGATTTTATGTACAAAAGAGCTGAAATTCTTTGAGATTTTTTTTAAAAGATTGTCAATTTTTTTACTGATTTTTGGGTTTGGAGACTTACACAATCTGGAAACGAAATCAATAGAGAATCTGCTGATGTGTTTTCAAACAATCCGTATTTCTTTTTCGATAAGAATTTATTTTATTTAAAATCAGAAAGAGATTGTTTTCTGATAATAATTTAAAGAGAACTGTGTATTTGGAATTTCATGAATGCAAGTTTCAGACTGAATGAATTCTTTATCATTCATATTATGTAATATCTTATATTACATAATAACTTTTTGGGGTGAACTTTACAGTTTACCTGTATTGAACTTCAGCAGAAGTGATTTATTTATCTTCGTTTTTCGGATTATGGAAGGTTATAAACCCATACACAGTAAAGAAAAAAGAAATCTTACAAGTTACAACTTACATTCATTTATTAATTTTGAACAAGATTCGAAAAAAACTGTATCAATTGTTCCAACATAAGAAATACATTAATATTTTCAATGATTTCCATATTTCAACAAAAAATTCATGATGTGTACGAATATATTACCTACCAGGGGGCTATCAAGAGTCCTGATACGGGAATTCGGTCAAAAATCTATCTCCAAAGATTCTATTTTATATGGAAAATGAATAATGTTTTCTGAAAACCTGAATGAAACTGTAGGTGTACTATTGTTGTTTGTCGGTACCCAACTGGAATCAGTAGAAGAAACCAGAGTTATACCAAAAAACACCGAGCATGAAATTAATAGTATCAACCGTTTTCAGAAGCATCTCGACAAACAATCTTTGATTTCGTGTTCTTCCACAAAATAAAAACTATATTTGACGCCATCTATCATCGAGAATAAGAAACCACATCTTGATAGAGTTACGGATTTCTACTTTCTACCCGCTTACGATAGTCGTCAATAAATGGCAATCTCATATGTTGCGAACCATGATTTACTGGTGGCATAAGTTTGATTTTTTGATGATGAGTTTTACGTGGTCAATCATTTCAGCAGAAGTGAATGTATCAGAATCGAAAATTCTGCGAAGTTCTAGTCAGTACAAAGACAACAGGTGCAGACATTTGACTAATTTCATTATAAAATAACAAGTTCACACAGCAATTTCAGGGGTAAAAATTATCATTTGTACCCCTGTTTACAAAGATATGGTGATACAGATATGCACAGAGATTATTTACAGGGTTTATAATGATAGTATTATTATTTTTTACATCTATGGTACAAAATTATTTACATAAGTATTACATTGTCTCGTATTGTATAATTCACATATTATTGTATTGATATCTCAATTTGTAAAGTGAAATTTGATATATGCAGTGGAGGTTACGATGTGTTACAGTTTGATCTACTACCATTTTTTCATTTGCGATAAACAAATTTAAATGGGAAGAAAAGTACTTGTAGTTTGAATGTTTTGTTCATTTGATGAAAAAAGGAATATTCGATTTCTGAAGAATAATTTGTGTGAAAATATCTGAAACTATGATAAAAACGTCTCAAAATGATATGTAAATCTCAGCTTTCATCGATTTTCTCAAAATTACTGCTAGAAAATGGACTGAATATGCTACGTAATATAGGTTCAAAATTCGGATATGAAAGTTTCGAGATATGTGAATATGTTTGTGGCTTGGAAAATTCATATGTTCATTTCAGAATAGCTCAAAATTTATTTTCTTTTATTTGGATTTTATTTGAAAAAATGTCTGAGATAAATCTTCAATATAAAACATTCTCAATCAAACAATGAGCTCTACATCCAATCTGTCTGATAATAATGATTGATTTTTTGTAGTACTAGCATGCAGAGTCAATTTCTTATAATCTTGCTCAGTTTCATGTTGGAGAGTAAATAAACCCCGACAGAAAAGTAGTTTTCTAGCGGATGAATTCAAGTATTGATTCTCTTCTATAACAATTAATTGTTAGTCCTTTCACTGATCTTCACGACTTCGACTATGATTGCCGTTCAGATCATTGTAACATAAATCATTAATGTACAATCATTCGGTCATGAGAAGCTACAAATATTTATAAGAAGTAATGCACATAACACTCATTTCACAATTTTTTAATATTTGTCAAAGTTGTCCGACAGAATTTCAGTAGTGGACATATAATATATCAGCTTACACTAATATTTACAAAACATATTCTCAACAAATTCAGTCTAATGATTTTTTTTACAATTTATTCCTAGTGAAGTGGTAGAAATTTCAAAAATTTCTCTGTGACGAGTAATGAAAAGAGAAAAGGTGGAGAAAGTTGGCAATAGTATTCATTAAATTCTAGTTGGATCGGTATTATATATTTTCAGATATTCAATCTGCTTTGCAATTTGTGACCATGTCATGATCAATGTTGTCTTTATTCTCATTCACCATTGAAAATACTACGGTAAATGTTTCTGAAGGAGCTTTGATCCTTGGATTTTTTTGAGTCATTGGTCATTCAGTCGCGTATACCCTAACATATGTAGGTTTAGAAAAATCTTCTTTTCATGAATCCGGCTGTGAAGGCATATATATTCTTCTATAAAGTATTCTGCTATTTATGCTGACAATGACATTTTTAGAGCACTGAGAGGATGTTTCAAATTCAAATCAGAAGTTTCGAAGATTTTTTCTGGGACACATTTTTCGTCGCATCCAGTATTTATTGAATATATGGTGATCATATTATAAATACACCGTCACACCTATTTTAATTTTTCATCAGAATAAATAGTGATGTTTTCGTTTTCATCCTCTAACGAAACAAGTATATTCAATGGAAAATTATTATGTTGAAGTGAATATTCAAATATATTGAAGATGTTTGAAATTATCGATTTGATGATCAATATTGAACTGAAATATGATAAGAACTATCTAATAATGAAACGAGTTATTGTAATTTTTTTATCTCCATGCTGCAAGGTCTAGAATTAGCAAGAAAAGGCATACCATCAATACATATCAATGAATTCCTTGATCACATGAAAAAGTGGTGAAAAATTTATGAAAGTGAAAATGTTATCAAAAGTATCTATATTCTTCAGAAAATAAAAGAAGACAAGTGAAATAGATTGATTTTCACTTTGAGTGACCTTTATATCTGATGGTGATGAATTTCTGTATGGCTTTTTCAAAGTTTGCTAAACGTGAGAGATCAACTACACAACGATAAACAGCTTCGAAACCACTCCATGCATGAGCCAACTGATTCATACAGCATGACAATATAAATGATCTGTTTGATTTACGAAAACCTGATTGAAAATATCCAGAAATTCTTTGCAT